TGATAGGTGCCCTATGTGCTTCATCATTCCGTTTGATGATTTTGTGTCAGGGGGGTTCTGTTGTTCCCGATGTTGCTGTTGCTGTTGTTGTTGTTGTTTGGGGTTCCATTTTTGTTTTGCTTGTGTTGTTCTATTTGTTGGGGTTCTTTGGGGGAGGGGTTGCTCGTTTGTTTGTTCGTTTTATTTTGTTTTGTTATGTTTTGTTTGGGTTTGGGGGGAGAGGGGCGTTGGTGGGAGTTTAGGGGGGGGGGGGGTTGAGAGGTGATGCTATAGTAACGCATTACATGTACTTTACCTAAATAGCAAGAAAACTGACTCAGAAAAATATATTTCAGAAGAAAAAAAATCAAAGCAGAGCATATTACATAAATTATTATTCCATGGTAGCCTAGCCTATCCACAGCAACATATATAGTATAATTATAGGCCTATCGTGAATGCATGATGTATCTCATACCGAACAATTTTAAGTAAAACTATTTAAAAGTTCCAAAGCCGTGCAGTGATTCCAAACCCTTAATATTGTGGTCGTTTCCAATCGCATTGACATCCACATCCTTAAAAAAGGGCTGGGCATAGAGGCAGGAGAGGGTAGTGCAACTAAGCGGTAATCGGCCTGCAAGCATCTCCCTAATACATTATGATGTATTGCGAACTGACAAAATTCCACGTGCAAATACCCGTTACAGAATGGTTATTGGGTCAATACCACGTCCTCTAATTCTGATATCTGCTGGTGGAATGTCTTTAATGTAAGTTTTAATGCCTGCCCCGTGAAACACCTGTTCGTCTGGGAATCATGCCCATCCACCTGTCAGAGAAATAATGCCCGCAATGGACGTTCAATTCAGAGGTCCTGCCTCGTGATAGACCTTACAGAGTCTGTACACGCGTTAGCCAATACCATACCCAGGGCCTCTTGTTGTGTTAAAGCTGTTGACTGTTGAGCGTTTTCTCTTGGTGTAAATCAGGTCTCGCTGGCATACATCAGAAAGTTCAGAATGCATGTCCGGAAAACTTATACCTTGATCTTGCATTGGGATCTCAATTACCATTGAACCAAACTTTCTTTGCTAGTCCACCCAAAATAGTGGAAACGTTGCAGGGTCTGGTGTTTTTAACTCTTGATCAAGAGTGTGCGTGCTTTTGACAGTTGGACCTGTAGGCTTATACGCCTGAGGAGTACCCTAAAACTTCTAGTCTTTCACTTCCAAGAGAGATTCCTGGTTGCCCTGAAGGTTCTCCTCAAAAGTAAACTTGCGTCTTTTCCTGCAGGTCTTCAAACCCGTTTCCCACGCAGCTGAAAGGATGTAGATCGCATTTTGCAGTTTTTTGTCAAAGTGAATTACAACAGCTGCATTATCTGCATAAAGTATGTCTGGTTATCTGACAACACTCTAAATCCTTGTCCTTCTCTTCGGTACGCTGTAAAGTTTTCCATCAGAGCGTGAGTAGATGACAAAATTGTGTTCCTTTGTTATTCGGAAAGGTGTGATAATAGAGCTGAAGCTACAAATGTGTTTGGGTTTGCTGTTTTTGTTTTTGTTTTGTTTGTTTTTTATGTGGGTTTTTTGTGGGTTTTACGGCGCTCGCAACTGCATACGGTCATATGAGCGCGCGGGACATATAAACATTTTTAGTTGGTAGGAAATTTTGAATTTTGCTCGGGTGGCGGCCGAAGCATACGATTTTAGACTACAAAGGGACCTCCGAGATTTTTCGCCCTTATCCGATAAGGCTATGTGTCCTCGTTTAATATCATGAGATCAGGGGTGTGGCTGAAGACAGCAGTAAGAAGGAGCCAAGGAGTAACACTACAAAGGCTGCAGAAAGAGCCAGGAGCTCAGAGGAGAAGGCAGAGGAGGTGAGGGGGTGGGGACAGAAAGAGAAGACAAAAGCAGACAGCAGGATATGTAGCAGAAAGGGATGTTAAAGGAGACAATTTTAGAGTGGAAAATTTTCCGTCGCTATCCAGATTCGAACCTAGGACCTATTGAATGAGAGCCCCCTAATGTGTGTTTGACGAAGGGTGGGTTCAGTTTGGGTAAAAAGAAACACGTCAACACGATCAGAGTCATTTAATGTAAAGAACAAGAAAGAGACATACTGCAAGAACTGGGGGAAATGAAATAAAGAAGATCTCGAACCCTCGCGTGGGGTGGGCAATTGTACTTAGCGACACCCATCCGCAGTGTCGCCGGTATTGCGGGAATCTCCAGCCACATGTTTCTTACGACGAGTGGGAGATCGATAGCTCTAGGCTGCTGCTGGCATGATTATCGACCCAGTGTGGCGAGTAGAAGCACCCCCCCCCCCCCCTTTTTTCCCCTCCCCTCAACCAGAGAGTGTTTACAGTAACAGAGAGGCGGCACTCGTGACAGTGCAATGTTTCGCGTATCGCCTGGCGCGGGACGCGAAAACCTTTATGCGCGGTAATCGCTGCTCAGGTCGTGAGAAAATGAATTGCCCTCAGTAGTTCGCTCACTAGGTTACTAGGCCTTGAACAAAGAATGGGGT